CAATCGCAACATTATTGTCAGTGCCTTTCACAGTCAAGACATACATAAGCATGACAGGTAATTCGGAATGCGCAAGATTCTAAGCTTATTATACTGAATCAGAAAATTGCATTCATGTTATCTGAAATAAAGTGGAGACTTTTTTAAATAAATGTGTTTTGGATCACAATTTACTGGTTGAATACAGAGAAATAGATTTTAGCTCTCCATTGTCACGTTTGAACTCAATCATTGTCTGTTTCTTGCAGCTTCCTTGAATAGATATTATTCATTATCCTTCTATAGCACTATTTCATTTGTTCGATATCTTTGCTTTTATTTAGCCAAAGTCTTAATCAGCTTTTAATAATTGTTCCCATTAGGCATCTTTTCTACTGCAACAAGCAAGTTTTATTAAAATAATGCTATTAATATATGTCGTAGATTTGTGCTTGTCCCCAAGAGCATCTAAGACTTTATAAGTGAAAGCGGCCATAGCTTTCAATCTTCACTGAAAGTAGAGGACTTTATTTATGACGAAAATCATTTCGAATATGCTGCTATTCTCCCAAAGCTATCGGGCAGAAAACAAAAACTGTTTTTGACTCTTAATCAGTATCACTCACCGATGACCTTTTGGTTTTCTGTTGAATTACAAGTAACTTGTAAAGCCAAATGCTGTCTACCATCGCCATTAATTCATCACTGGCCAAATAGCTATCCAGTGTCCACTTCCGAAAAAATGATACCTAGCCATACTCTTACCCGTATAAAGTTATTGTGACAGATAATAAATCCCTACATAATTTTACCTTTTTGTATCATTATCTTGCAATTTAACCATGCAATCCTCACCTTTCATTAGAGGGCAGTTGGATCTCCTGTTCTAGAAGAACCAAATTAATCAGTAGATGTGAATATAAATGTTGCTTTAGAACTCGTTCAACAGCTGGAAAGTCTTGCAGTCGATATCTTCTAGGACGTATTTGCGTATCATTACTCAATAAAATTCAACTGTGGGTATTTCTTTAATCGGTGGATTGAAAATCTTTCCTTTTTTTTGCCTCAAATATTTCTACTTCCTCTCATATCATCTAAGAAATTCGGGATGAGCTAAAAATATTACTGAGGAAGGTAATTTACATAATAATATTTCATTCGCAAGAATTCAACTGTTAACAACAAATATTTGGCAATATTTTCAATTATGATCATCTGCAAGTGCATCAATACTTTGAACAAATGATAATTACTTTCACTTCAATGACTGTTTCTAATATTCTGGAATTGAATGGCAAAAAGAAAATAAAATTTCAACAAAATTCGGGGAGTATGACGTTCATCACCGAATACAGTGGTAAACAAAATTCCAATGTTATTACTACTTATGACGCTGCTTGCATTACTTGCATTTTAATCAAGTATTTCACGAATGGTTCATTGTTTAAATAATTTGCATGACTGATCAGAAAAGTGGCATTTTGCACTTTACTTGTCATCATTTATTTCATACGCATTGTTCAAGTGTGTTATTCTATTCACGTACGAAAAGTATTTATGCTTAAGCTTCACAAATATATCGTCTTCAAAATATTGTTCTTCAGCAATTCGGAATTTTAAATTGATTTCGATATATTTCTTTGAAATGAGTTGGTCTTATTTATCGTCTGGAAATGTCGAACTAAAATTTAATTGTCATTTTGCAATGTTTCACTAATAAAATAGATTATCATGGATCGAAAACATTTTAGATTAAACTATGTAACTGCTTTATCATTCTTGTTCGTATAGTGAGACAAACAAATGCATACTTTTGTTCAATATTGTAAGGATTTTGTCCTTGTCTAAGTCCTGTATATTTTGCCTTTCAGTTATTAGCGTGGAAGGTTGAAGTTATTCAGATAAAAATTAAAATTTAATATTTGAAATAATCAAAAAAAACAATCCTAACTATTATAAACATTTTGAAAGATTCAGGAACAATAACATATATATATATATATATTTGCGTTTGATATTTGAAGTACTTTTGAATAATCAAAAGATCAGCCTATTTTGAGAAATATCAGATTAAAAAAGAAGAAAAAGAAGCAAGTTTTTAAATGAGTGACAAAAAACAATAAAATAACTAATTTTTTTCTTTTTTTCGTTTTTTTTCGAGGAATGTACCAAGAAAAATAATTGACAAATTCCAAAAACTGTATATCACTCATTTGTCCGATTTCTCCATTTTTTTAACGATATTTTTACTTTTTATGGTATTTTCCACTCTGATTTCTTTACTTCTCTTCAGAAGTGCATAAAATGGAGAATTTTTCGTTTCATTCTTATCAAACTTCAAAATATTCGAAAGCATTAACTCTCTTCTATGAGATGAAGTCAGCTGGCAGAAGGAATCCTTTTAGATTTATTTTAATAATCTTTGATTTCACTTAAAAGTCTGCACCGATACCACTTTTGGCTTAAATGTTGCTGACATTTACGAAATGATCAGAAACGAATTTTCTAGTTTATTCTGGCAAGAATCGTGCAAATTTATTTCACTCGTATTCTTCAATCTCTTACAAAGAAGACGATTTACTTATGAAAGACATAAATGACAGGAAAATAACTTCAAAATGCATAGTTTTCATATAAACGATGATAATATGTAATATCAACTAATTTAGCCAAGCAAATTGTGTTTAATTGGCCGAGCTTAAGTTTACTCTAATGCTTATATTAATTGATTTATGGTTAATAACATAATTTTTCCGATCTATTACAATCTAATTTGCAATTTCGATTTCTGTTTTATTCGACTTACAGTGAAACTTGTGCTTGCTGAAATCTGGGTACGTATACGACATGTTAAATTGTCATTGTTGAATTCATCGGCTGCTTCATTTAATGATTTAAAATCAATGCTCATTATAATCGTTTACCATTTATCGCTCCAACTGATTCTCCTTTGATGTTTTGGATTTCTTAATTCTTGCTATCTCACAAACACATATTGCTACTGCTTGTCAATCTTAACTGTAGACAAAAAGGAACGAAAGTATAGTATGATATGTGAAAAGCAATGAAATGCGGTCTTCGACTGTTCCGTTATCAATAGTATTGGTGTGGTGCATCTACTACAAACTGAGTTGTGCAAAACAGTCAGAACTTGCGAATAATATGCAAATTTCTAATGTATTGAGTGAAAACGACGCTCAAAGCACCGAATTTGTTCGCACAGCTTGGAGCGCTGCAACTTATTCGAAACTCAGAATTTACAGTAAGTTCTTCGATTTCGCCAACATTGATTTCTTCTTTACTTTTGATTTTATGTCAAAAATTTATCAGACGAAATAGAATGCTATCATACAGTAGACTCTGGACTTATTGAAATGAACTTTTTTTTTAGTTTAAATCTGGTATTTTTGCCCAGTTATATTAAGATTTTGAGGGTCTTTGAGACTAATTAGACATAGACTTTTAGATATGTATAGGAGAGTTTTTAATTATCTTCCTTGATAAAAAATCCATGAGGGTTCTGAGAACGAGTTGCTTCTTGCTGGAAGTAACTAGAAGCATCTATCTGTTCAAGTCTGTAGTGACTTGCTTAAAGGACCCAGAAGTCATATCGCTTCACAACTTTTCCAATCCCATCTCTCTGCTACTGTCATATGTAGTTCTCTTTTTTGATTTTCATGGAATCTGAAATATTATTATGAAATGTTTTAAATGACATGGACACATTGTGATGTTTGATCATTTAGTTTGCGTGGGGTGACATTTTTCTCTTCTACAGCCGAGGGATTTGACGAATTCTTTCCCTATTTCTCTCTTCTTTTGATATATAAGAGAGAAATTTTCTTAAAGCAACAATCTTCTCTATTCATTTATCACTTTTTTTCACAAAATTTACAATCAGTGTTAATGTGATCATTCGAATTCACAGTTCCGTTTTGCACTTTCACTTTACACACAGTGCAAATTCAGTTGTTTTAAACATCTGAAATATCTAAAACGTGTCAATGTGCCAAAGTTTTCACCACTTTGTTAAGTATGATAATAACTCTGTGAATTTGGTAAATCTTTGCAAGTATCAACTTCTAAATAAGGTTGATTTTGAATAAAATTTGAATTAAGTATTATTTAATCGATGAAATTTTACACTAGGTTCTTCTTAACGTTCCTTTTTTGAATCATTTTTTGACTGATACCAAATAACTGTATGCCATAATATCAAAATTTTTTTTTAGTACTCTCAAAGATGGGGAAGGAAAGCATAGAGCTGAAAAAATTGAACGGTGGAAGCTTTTTAAAGGATTTCATATTTCGATATTTTTGATTACATATGAATTATATTGATTATCACCAATTTATTTGAAATCCAGTTTTTTGAAAAAGAAATTTTTTGAATTCCAGAAGGTGAGGGAGAAAGAGAAAGGTAGAAAGAAATATTCACTAAAATTAACATTTATTAACTACAATAAGCAATAATTACAATTTTAATGGCTCAAAGATTATAAACATATTAACAGTTTTTTCATTTGAACATATGCATTATTAAGATTCTAACAGAGTTGTGTTATATTTTAATAATACAACTCTTTATTTTCTAACAGTCCATAAGCTCAGATTAGAACTCTCGTGTTCAATCTTCTGATCTGACTACGGAATCCAAATCTTTTTTTCAGATAAGTTGGTTAATTACCTGCGCTCTTTCCATTTCACATTAGCCTTGTTCATGTTAAATTACCGAAAAGTTGTGAAATAATAGAAATGAAGGGAAATTTGCTTCTTGCTGTGCGATATTTTGAGGAGACATGCAACTAAACAAGACTGATTTCGATCTTTTTGTTTATTGACTTCGCAGGGAGAACTTTTGACTGCTTGGAAAACTTTGCTTTCCATTTTACTTCTCGAACAATTTCTTTTTTTTTTAAATCTTTTTTCAAAATGCCAAACAATAAATTGGCGTTATTTCACTTTCCTCTCCAATATATCCAGTAAATAATTATACTTAAAAAGTATAATGGAAAGAAAAAATAGTGGAATTCTCACTCTGTATTCATAATAATAAAAGATTTCACTGAAAAGTTGAACAGTTTGGGAAATTTTATTTTCTATCTTATCATATCACCGCATTTAAACTTAATGTCCTTGATCAATCAAACAAATTGCTGAATAAAAGAACACTTTGAAAATCCAAAATCACTTCTTTCCTAACGGATTGTTGTGATTCATAGTGTAGAAGGAGTACAACTACTAGGACTGCAATCAAATGGTAAGAGACTTTCACTTCTTATAAAACTTTAAAGCCAGATGAAGTCGAATGAGTTGTATAAACAATTTTCCACAACATAATATTTGGACTAAAATTGATTTCAAACAAGTGAGCTACATTTTTGTCACTTTCTTTCAAATGATAATAAGGTAAAAATGGCAAAAACAGAATTGTCTGAATAATAAAACTGCTGATAGGTACTTTGTTATCAATTATTGGGAAAAAGTTTTTCACCTGCTTTTTTTAATAAAACAGAATTTGAAATGACGGAAACATTTTGAGGATGCTGTCTTCTTCGGTGCATGCAAAAATTGTTGAATTCACAATTCATCGTTTTACACAACTTTTTTTTCCTTTTTTATCGAACAATCACAGACTTAAGATTCAAATAAATTTAGTTCATTGCAGCCTTTGTTGAACTCTGATGTCCGTTAATAAATAATAATGATAACAAAAAAAGAGATCAGATATTGCCTGATTTTTAATAATTTTTCTAACTGATTTGATTACATTCTCATATTGCAGTTTTTCAAATTACATGTATGGAAACGTGCTTTCGGTAAAATCGCACTAGACATTACTTTTGGTCGAAATGCACAAATATCTATTTGGTTTGAAATGAAAATTTCTAAGCTTTCCAGTCTGCAATTAATTCTTAGAAAATTGCAAGAAGAATAAAAATATGGGAAGTTGGTAAAATGAAAGACATAACATTTTCCGCAATAAATGGGTCTATTTCTTAATGTTTTAAGCAACGAACAGACTGCACTAAATTTTTTTTTTAAAAAGCAGATATTGCAATACAAAGGACATAGGCAACTGTTAAAAAATTAGTTAGCCTATCAAGAGTTACTCTAACATTAAGTGTGATATTGAAAAGGATTTTTATTGTAATTTGATCAGATGTTGTTAAGTGCAGTTATTTGTCATGCTAGGGAATTGACGAAATAAAGAAATTGAAGAAATAGTACCTTTTTTATTTTCCCGATACCCTCGGGGAAGAATTATCATCGTGTGAATCTGGACTTTCTTGATTTTCCAAATAAAGTTGAGTTTGTTTTTTTTTTTTGTAAAGTTTGGATTTCAACTATCCATTCCTTCATATCATAGCAGCTTTATATATGCTGAATAATGAAAGCCATTGCCGAACTTCATTTTATAATATTTTCGAATCGTAATGCAAATCGTCTTTATTGGAAAGGTTTGAACTCAAAAATGAAATCATCAACTGTGCCCAAGTTGGCAATCTTAATTGTTTATGCTTGCATTTCTTTCACCTTCACTTTTATTAGAACAAATTCGGATCATTTAGAGTTCTTAATTTTTTACTATTATGCCTTAGCTTTACTCTCGAACTTTTAACAAAAGAAAATTTTGCTAAAAAAAATTGAGATAAAAAATTACTTTTCCGAGAAATTATAGGTCGGGAATATACAAAGTTTAAATTATCGTTGAGCATGAATCCCTGATATTTGGGATTTATTGTTACACAAATGACGTGATATCCATTTATTGGAACTGTAAAAGTGTAAATTTTTTTTTGCTCACATTATTAAAGATATATTTTAATGCTATGACCTTGACAATTCAAGATGTTATCCATTTTGCCAGATAATTAAGCGTTAATTTAGCAAGATGATAAAATCCTAATTGGTAGTAATATTCAGAAAACGTTAATCTGCAAGCAAAATAATATCCGGAATATTCTAATAAGCTAAAATAGATGATCGAATCCGTTGTTGTTATACGTTATCGAGCGTGAATATCTTGGCTAATAAATTGGGGGAGGAAGGAAAATTTTTATTTACTGTTGGAAACTACAATCTTCTAATCGAATAAGGCGGCATTTCCAGAAGTTATCCTTGATATGTCCAAGATGGTGACACAATCTTCTAATCGAATAAGGCGGCATTTCCAGAAGTTATCCTTGATATGTCCAAGATGGTGACATTTAAGGATTAAATTTCGATATTTATCTTAATATTCTCTTCAGTTTCAATTGCTTGCTTTCCACAGTTCACACCAGTTGTTCTAGTCGCTACAAGTACAATAAACGTTGTCTACGGAATATACGCCCATATTTTAACTTATTTTTTGTCTCATTATGAGTTGTGCCTTTTAATCATAGTGACAATAGCAATCTTTTGAAAGAGAATAATGTTATTTGTTAAGCTTCATTTTATATATCGAAGTGCACTCTCAATTATTTGAAATGCTTTTATGCTTGTTTCGAAGTATTGCTGAGTCATAGCAAAGAAGTCACATTTGGATGGCTTAAATCACAAGTAACTTTTATCATTCATATCATTTATTTTGTCAACTTACATACGAAATTAATAAATTGCCAACTTATTTCCTTTATCATTTTCTGCGAAAGTTCAAATTACAGCTTTTTCTGAGCTGTGAGCTTATATATATTTTCGTCACTATTTGTGATTATGAAGGAACAATTCGCATATCATAGACATAAAATTGTGCTGAAATTAAAAAATAACTGAGAAGAGGGGCACTGATGGACCAAGTGAATGACAATGTCGGAATGAAAACTTTAGGTAGTTTGATGATACTGATAGCGGTCATTTTTATCGACATTTCACACTTATGGATCGCTAGAGAACTTGCCGAACTGGTGGAAATTGGTATTTTCATTTCTTTTACTTTAACTAGAAAAAAAGTTTAAGCTTTTATGCCTCATTAGTCTGTTTGCAACTTCATTAATATATTTGCAATTTATTTTCCAAATTTGTACAAAATTTAAGCACACACAATTCTATCAGTCTACAAAGTCTCATTAGAATGGAAAATGTGCATTTAAGGACTTGTCTAGCAAGAAAGGAAGATTTCACAGGGTTAATTTGCTACTTCAATGTCTATCAATAAAAAGAGACATCTGGAAGGAGAAGATATTAATGATGTACTTGCTGAAAGCTTTCTCTTTCTATTGTCTTTCAAACAGAAAAGAAACAATTTTTCATGCGCAAAATTTCATTTAAATAGTGAGATGTTCACTGCAATGCTATTGACATTATCAAAATGTGAGAGATTAATATAAAAGTTTTATTTAAGACATTATTTCAGCGTTTGCAACTTTTAATTTGGTTGATGTGAAATTTCAAGTTCAATAAGATTTTGGGGCATTAGTTTCATTTCAGCGATGATATCAGAGACAACGTTAGTTAGTAATTTTGATATTTTGATTGCTACTACGAAAAATTCCTATCAGTGCAATAAAATCTATTTTCAGATACCATACCTCGTCGATTCGAATGCTTTTCTTGTATGTCACTGAGTTATCAAGAACGCTGGGAGCATCTGCAGTATATTTACATGGCACCTAAGGTTTTCTGTTGATAATGTTACATACTACCTTCTAAATTCTTAAGTTTTAATATGCCAGATTAAAACTTCAGAAGAAATTCGTATTCTCAAACTAAAAAGTTGAACGCTTCCACATACACAGCTCTAAATTAAAATGAACACATCAATGGATACTTTTAACAAATACTTTTATGTAGTTACTAATCTTAAATAAAGGTTCAAGTAGGCTTATTAGAACTGATCCATACAACAACAAAAATGGAGAGACATAAGCATAATCTACCATAGAGGGAGAGAACAAGTGAAAAAACTTGTAAGCAGTAGAAGTTGAAGGAAAATTGAAATTCTAAAATTTATCAACCATAAAGGTCTCTTCCCTAAATTTTGTTCAAATTATGGGGAGTAAACGGGAGCTTGAAATGATGTGGAAAAAGTTAGAGAACACTTATGAGACAAATTTCTAATATTATCGTTGTCATATCAATCTTCCTTCAAAATTTTAAATTAAGATAAGCAATGTGTGTTCAATCACGATATTCAGATGTTTACAAATCAATGTAACGAGCCACAACTTTCAAACCATATTCCTACTGTAATTTGTTCAACAATGTGTGTTAATTTACTCGAACCCGATGTTGAAGCTGGTTTGTTTGCAATTACTTCTTAAAAACCATTGTCCCATCAAAATTTGTTATGAGCACTGAACTGATCATAACAACTCTATGACTCAGCTAAGATTACGCTATTCCTAAGCTAATGCAAACATAGAAATGTCAATAAATATATTAAATGAGACATTTTGACAAGTGATATCCTCGACATGTTGAGTATTGCATATCAAAATAAAATGACATGTCAAGTTATCGGACACAATGTAATACAATTTTTTTTGGCAATGTAATATAGGAATTAGCCAAAAGAAAAACTCATACATTATTTGTCTCTTTTCGGATCCATTGTCGAAAACGACCAAAATTATGCTTAAAAGGTCATCATCCTCTCCAAATACGTGGTTAGAAATCAAACAGTACTAATACAGACTGAAAAATAAACATGGAAATTTTAGTTCTTTCAACACTATCGTTTCCTAGACATCAATACTTTTTCCAGGCGTATTTATTGGTTTTAAATTTATCCGTGGTTGCATGGATCGAGTATTAAGGAACGGTTTCAATGAAACCGCAGTAAGGACGCATCGCTTTCAAATGGTAATTTTAGCTTTTAAATCGTTATGAAGAACTGAAACAGATATTTTGTAGCACGATGAAGAAACAGAAAAACAGTTTTTTGTTTAGGTGAACCAATGTCGAAGCTTACCCCGTGCTCATTTGTACAATTTGGATCGCAGACAACTTCACCCGGTATTCGGTGATGTACAACTATGTACTTGTTACGGAGACAGATGTAATGGTTCGTCGGGTACTATCAGCAGTTCAAATTACAGTACGGTGCTTTTGTTGACATGTTTTACTGTCCTGCTAAGGATATAAAAAACAGCCAGTAGTTGATCAGCCATGACCTGTTACGGCTGAAATTGTTTATATTTAATGTTAAACAGATTTAGTTAAAAATGTTCAGGTAAATACTTTTCTTGAACGAATTTAACGTTAATGGATTTTGAAAGAAAAAACAAAAAAACTACTATTTCCTTAGTTACTAGTTAAAACAACTCGTAGAATGTAATGGTGCCTTGTTGTTATCACGTAAGACTAGACTGTTTAATTGAATTTAACAATAAACATATCGATAGCGTTTCAAACATCACGAAACAAAATCACACCATTTGAAATGAATGGCCTTATTGTTCTTTCAATTCCCATAACATCAAAGAATCTCTCAAAAGCTCCTCAGCTTAGTCGATATAAAATCCGATGTGCAAACTATTTCTGAAATGTTTGGTACTAAGTTGATAAATTGCAAATCCTAAAAACGGCCTGTCACCAAAACCTCATACATAACCAAACGGCTATGTTTAAGAGCACTGTGTGCGTGTTAATGTAGTAAACGACTACTGAACAAACGGCCAATCAACCGCGGGACGACAACATCACTTACGCTCCGTTACCCCAACATAACATTATGACCTAGTCCTTATAAGCTAAGTTGTTTCACATCACCCTGACATTGCGGTCGGAATCAGATTATGTTATCTTGACCGTATGCTCTCGATGGGGGAGTTGATTTTATCACTGTGGAGGAAGTGCGGGGAGGTTCGTTGCTGGCGTGACGTTTTAGGTCGAGGCTTGTTGTATGAGGAGGATAAACGGTGGCTAATGATGATGACAATGGCGTCGAGCACTCAGTAAAGTGTCTGTTTAAGTCTACGCGCATAGAGCACTTCTTCGGACAAACCGATCAATACACTTCAGGAAAATCTAACGTGTGTAATGGATAGTATTTGGAATAGACCAAACGTTGGCTCAAATTTTCCATTACGATAATTAAAAGAAGTATAATATTTATTCTGTCGAAAAGGTCACATAATATACAGAAAATGAAATCGACGCCAGTCGAACGTGAATTTCGTAATGCATCACTCCAACTACTAAAGAGATTTAATGTGATCTCAGATATATGCTGGACACGATTTCATCGAGGTACTTCACAGTTGTTGATTTGTGTAGTTGTTTGTATACTATTTCTGCATTCAAAGGCAAATCTGGATAATCGCAAAGTGCTGTTGGTTGACTGTGATGAGTCTGGTACTGGTTATAACTATTACAGGAAAAGAGAAAGCGTTCAGGTTTACCGAGTTTAAAATGAGTTTAACACTGAATAGTAGGAATGACTTAATTAACGTATCTTGCACTGAGTAGTAGAAATGACTTAATTAACATATCTTATAGTAACTTTGTCTTACCTGCAGACAAAATATTCTGTAACGGTGAGCAATTTGAGATGAAAACCTGTGTGGTTGAAGACGTAAAGGCAGTCATCGAATTGTACGAATTGATCCAATGGAATCATCGGAATCATTCCTGTCTTATTGAAATCGTTAACTTGTCAAATAGTTGCTTACGTTAGTTCCATTCTTCTTACCATCACTTATATGGGCGACTACAAATAAAGCAGGACGAGTATGAAGTAGATGATAAACGAGTATGAAATAGATGATAAAATAAGACAAATTATGTTCTACTCGAGCCACATTACAGCCGTGAGTCATTTTTTGGCGTTTTCTATTGAATAATATGACAGACTTTCTTCTATCTGACTTCATTTTTACTTTCTGGAGTCGAATGAATGCCGAAATCTACTTAAAAGCATTTACAGCTGTGATAATCAAAGGTGCAAGCCTTGACGCATAAACAACAAGCTTCTGGTGAATTATTGGATTAAACAAAATTGACACTTTTCCAGAAGGGTTATCAAAAGGAATCTCTGGTTTTTCGGGCAGTTCATTTTATTAGTTAATTAACTGAGGAAGAAGTGAAGAGTGAAAACACTGGTAAACTTGGATTTTTAATCGAATCAGTTGTTGACCGTATTGATTGATAATCCAAGTGGATAAGAAAAGTGATCTTTTTCTGTTTCGACATAGAAATTCTAAAAAGGAAAGCTTCAAGATATTCCTAATAATCCGTGTGCTTCGTTTCAGCTAATCGCGATAGCATCATCGAAATAAGTAGTGAATGTCGAAGAGGGTGGAAATTATAAGATACTTGCTAGGGTATGCGGAATGTTGGTTCTATTCTAAGCGAAAATTTGATTGCGGCAATAAAAGAGAAAAAGTCGATTTGGATAAAAAGGATGCTACTATTAAATGTCGAAAAGATGTGCAGTAGTAGAAGGAAGGTACATTTGAGAACTTCATGGAAATCTTAGAAGAATACTCACATACTCGGGTAGGACGATTGAGTTTGTTCTCTTCTGCGGTTAATAGCTGGCTTACTGAGTGTTTTGGCGAAAGCATCAAGTGAACCAGCCGTATATGTCTTGAACCCTAACACAGAACGGTTCTTAACATCTATAACAGGAATGGAATTTTCTGTAAGATTCAAGACATGAATGGGAGATTAATGAAATAAAAATTCATCTAGAACTGTTGAAGATTAATTCAAAAGGGATTCTTCCAGTAATGAAAATCCTGTGGTAGGAATGTCAATCGAATTAAGATTGGATACACAGCGTGTGGAATATAACACGAAGAGTTTGGCCATTAACTGCATGTGAATTCATCTACAGAGAAACAGCTTTGCCTGTGAAACTAACTACTTAAATAACTAATACTTTGGAAAGTTTTGAAAGGGTATTCGGTTTCGAAAGAAAGGACTAAATAGTGGCTAGATTTCTTGAAATTGTCGGAAGTAAGGGTATATACATTAGTGGCTGCTGGTTTTCTGCCGATTTAGAATTACGGCAGCCTAGAATTTACAGATCATGGAAAGGATGGACTGCATCGGAAACATAATTCTTTCTTTTTCGCATACTCTCTTGTATCGAGACACGGTCTTTGAGATTTTCTTGTAGCTTTGTTGCTAGTATGTGTCAAAATACGACACAAACCTGAACGCAAATTTGCAAGGCTAGTAATGGACTATTTTAGTGTAATTTTGACCATTTTAGTGTAATGTTGCAAATCGAACAAGCAGTTGTGTTGAACTGATAATATGATATTAGATCTTTCTCAATTTTGCAAAGGAGTTATGGACAAAAACTGCTTATGAAATAAAATTTTACGACTTCATTTTGTAATAATGTTACGGACGTTGAAAACCCAACATCGGAGATCACACGTTGCCCATAAAATATTGAACCATTTTCTCGGGTTTTTCTGGATATGATGGATTTGTAAAAGAAAACTTGATGAAGGAAGGTAGTGCTTATGAAACGTAGTGCAAAAACGTATTACTAATATTGGGGAAATGATTCAGATCATAAATTTGTTTACTGTGATACATAGTAACATGCATCTTTTTCCCCTAATTAACTCAGCGAAATTGAGGTCCCTTACTTGAGCACCTCACTGCTTTGTAGGATTGACAGCGTTCAAATAGCTTAGTAATTTGTATTTATATAGTGTTTTGATTAAACCGTTAAATAAATACTAAGTAATGAAATATGTTGGCATCATAATTTGAACGCTGTTGAGCATTTTTTGTGTTGTTGCTATAGTAATTTCTATTTTCTGCTTATTTGCTAAACGTTACGTTAGCCCACTTTTCAGTACTAGAACTGAAGCCTTTGATTTGGAAGTTATTTTTATACTTGCAGATGATGAATTGCCCGGAAGTAATAACGCTTGATAATAGTGATGATGACGACAGCAATGGACACAATTCAGTAAGCCGACATGTGGGGGCGACTGCTTCAGTTATTCGTGCGAAGCCTCTTAGGTTCTCAACACTGCAACCAAGGGTTGGATTTTAGCTTTATACTAGTAATAATTGTTTCTATATGAACTGAAATGATTAGTATTTGGAAGATAAAGTATTGGTTATTCGAAAGTAACGCTGGACGATTAACTGAATGTTTGAATTTTCTGTTACATTGCTTATATGAATTAATGACTTTGGGAATTTCACACTCAATTATATTGTGAAGAAGGTGAAGTAGTTTACTGGAGTAACTGCATAACTGGGAGCAGAATAGTCATTAATTGAGTTCCAAATGGTAATTTTTATGAATTCATTTCTTCAACATTTTTCAAATAAAATTAATATCAGTTGACTTAAGGAGCTCATATAGCTTTCAAGTAAAATGCTAATGAGAGAAGGTTAGTCAGGAAAGAATGATGTTTTCAAGTTACAGCGGTCCACAACCAGCAAACTACCGCTACCTACCACAGCTTCCCCTTCAACACAGTTTCACCGAATTAATATTTCGGAAACTCCCGCAACACCAATGCTGCAAAAAGCCTTCTCATCACTTTTACATACTAAGCTACCAGTTTTGGAACTCCAAAACCGGGTCATATCGGACACGGAAAATGATACCAGTTATATAACTTTATCATCATCACGTAGAGAAAATAACTTGGATTCGTATTGCTATGAAAGTTATGATCCAAGAGCACCACCATTTGAAGCGCAACAGTTTAGTGCCAAATTCCGAGTAGGTTCATTTCTTTAGTTCTTCCTTTATTTTCAATCAAATTCATCTATAATTTTGTCACAGGTGGGTGCAGTATTTGATGTATTTTTGTCCATTAGCTGTCGACAGATCGAGTAGCAATAGAATCAAATGAGCAGTTTGACTATAAGCTATAAAATTCTCCCGGATAGTTCATTCATGACTTACCATTTTTCTATCAAAAGTGAATGCGTTGCACAAAATAACCAGAACTATTGGTTATCTAAATGATAACCTAAGAAATATAATCAGTTTCTGTTAAATGTTTCTATTAAATCGTTCATCACTGTTCTTCATGTAATTTGCGATAAAGTACGTTACTTTCTAGATTTCGTCTAAATTTTCGATTTAATTATGTGAATGTTTTCAGTGTTCCGTTGGAAATTGCCGAATGCTGCTTTCCAATAATGTAAGTTTCATGTTCCATCTGTGGGCACATTTAACTGAGTTCAGCTACGGCAGTAGTCTTAATTGCCCTCGAGAAATGCATCGATTCTGCCGTTGTCCACAATGCCTTCATTTATTTCCTACTGCATATCGCCTGCAGATTCATTATGATAATGTTCACAGTGCAACACCATCCTCATCCACATGTAAAATATGTGAAATCACTGTAGATGAGGTATGTTTGTAACCCCGTTTTTCTTATTTCCATACATAGACGTGCGACAACTCATATTTCTCATACCATGTTGTACTTTTTATTAAAAAATGTCCTACTCGTAGAGGACTGCAATCAATTACAAATTATTGATTCAACTTATAAGAATTAATCTTAGAATTCTTGCATAACTCGAATCTATATGATTTATTGAAATGTTGGAAGCATTTATTCAATGGTACCATCGATTCCGTTATTGTAATAAAAGCGCATTATTAAGAAGCTGATAATTTTATGTGATTTGAAGGACCAATGTTTGGATTAATTATAAGGAAAACGGTCCAGCTGTGTGGAACTTTATGAGTTCTCAATTTCGATGCATTTGTCAATTTTTTTCCTTCGTTTAAATCTATTTTAGAGTGCCAAAAGCTATAATTATTATGATTTCAGAGCAAGCACCGGAAAATTCATGGCGATTTCGATGCTCCATTTCATTGCAGGAAGTGTCGATATAGGACATCGATGAGAACCCATTTTATAGATCATTTTGTTCGATTCCATTCAAATACACGCACTTTGCTGTGTCCCTTTTGTCTTAATTGTTATGTCATACCGAGAGACAACACATCATCTATGATAAGTGAACGCGAATATGTTAGACATTTTTTGCTACATCAGGAAGGTGAGATATTTCAAGAATATGGAAAATAATGTTTTGTTAACGAATTTTTCAATATTGCAGCTTTGTACCTTTTTTATATCAGTTTATTAGCCGCACAACTTTGGATAAATTTTCGTCTGGTCAAATGACACAATCATTTTGCTCATTCTAGAAAATTATGGTTGTGATCAGTGCTCATTGAAATTTATACGGCATGCTGATAAAATCGCTCATCGGCGGGAGCATACTCAACCAAACCTGAAATGGATCTCAAAAAATATCCAAGTACATACAAGGCGAAAGGTAAGACATTGAATTAATATTTTTACGCCATGTGTATTCGGTTGGTCCCGTTTTAAATCCTAAAGGGTTAAAAGAACTGCAGTAATTAAGGATACCAAAATCATTTATATGATGTATATTTAAAGAGTATGCATTTAAATATACATGTGTATATTTAAAGATTTCGAAAAGTTGGCCTATTAAAAGAAAAACATATTTAGAACAGTAAAGCAAAATGATGGATATATACCAAATTTTACAAAGAATGGTTTGGAATTGTACATTAAATTTAGTTTATGCGAATTAAACTTATGAAACGACTTTATTCTCTTATGACTTAAAGAAAAATAACTATTTAGATTTTTACAGCAAGAAACTTTCGGCTGGCTTTGGTCGTGCTTCAGCTAGCTTTAGGTAGATCTCGATCAAAAGTACTCGCAATTTCTTTAGGGCCGCAAGTTATGGTCAAAAAAAAAGAAGTGGAAATGCACAGAATGTAATGAAGGACTAAGTAATGTGTGTGAACATTTCAAGCGTATGTATCACTGTCCTCATTGCGGCTATCGTACAAACTGTCACACTGCGTCACAGCGACACAAATTCATCAAATGCACGACGAAACGAGGAGGGATGACGAGGCAAATTTAAGTTTATCACTACTCTAACAAAACAACATACTTAGAAACAAGGTGTGAGAAACATTTACAGTATTGTTAATGTTGTTTGAACTACCATAACATATTACAATACTTATAGTATCTATCTTATAGTAATAATATGGTGGAATGTGGTAGTAATATGGTAGTAATAATATAGTACTTATAGTAATAATATGGTGGAATGAATTCGAATAGTCGTGAGCTTAGAAAGTAATCCTTGTTATGATGTGGGAGCTATAGCAGTTTGGGCTATTAATTTCCAGGCATTTATTAATTCTGCATTTCAGAGCTCAGTTATTACCATCACTAATTGTCTGTAATCGTTGTAAACGTGCATCATGTATTGAACGAGATATTTTGAATCATGTGCGTGCTTGTAGTGAAGGACGCTGTGTTGTTGTTAATCTGAAACAAGAAAAAAGCAATATTCTCAGTCAATATAATGATGAATTAGAGGTCAGTATTGTCTCATGTATTTTTCCGCTTTATTTCATATTGTGTCTACGCAGTTATTTCTATCCTGAGAATTAGCAGAATGTTTTGCTTTTTAGTAACTTAGATCAAAAAGCAATAAGAATATCCTGTTGTCAAGTTAATATTATATGCAGTGATGAAAAACTGATTTGATTATTATACACAGTTCTTAAGATTCAATTTGTAAGTTTCGTTCATTAAACGTTATAACATCACAAAATTCCAATCGATGCAGCTTTGCAATATTTTAGCTCTCAGCTTTGATAATAATCTGTCGGTTAAATAGAAAGAGGAACTTGTCAGAAATTATCAGCTTGGTCAGAAAATGCTTTATAGTACTTCAAACTTTTGCTCTTGTAGATGAAAATTTTTGCTCTTCGTCCTTATGAAGAAACTGCAAGACTTGGTAATGGTGATGTTGTGTCAGACGTACATAATTTTTGTCGTCTACGCGATCAAAATTCTTTATCGCCTTCTCTAGTTAAAGCAAATATGGAACTGAACAATGCTCGTCTGCACATTTTGTGAGTTTCTGAGAAATCTATAATAGTTCACATACACCATATGATATGGAAAAATAAGCTTCCAGTCACTTAAAATGGATATTCAATTGACAGTGACGAAACTTTTCCTATTTTCATACTGTGCAGTTGTGTGTTATTGTTTTCAAATGCTGGCTGAGTTACTTATTAACTAACTACTAATAATTAAAATCGAAAACAGTCGACAGACATGCATCAATTCAATTGAATAGAATAATGTTCATGCACAGGTATTTAAACCTTTCATAAGTACCAAGTGACGCAACATGAACTATCACAAATTTAACAATTCACTTTCATAATCCTTTTAACTTAGAGCTTCACAAAATCAAGAAATAAGAGTTATCCTAAACTTATAAACGAAAAATTTGCAGGAAAAGGATTTGTCCGAGGCCACGGTTTTCTTTTGCCGATATGTTGAAATGTTCTTGATCATCGTTTCGTCATGCACTTTTTTCTTCACTTTTTTATCAGGCATCTATTGCTCATATGCTTGTTGCATACTTTATGGAACTTCGAATTTTAGTGGCATATAAATTCAGCTCTTTTTAGATTTAATAATGAAGTAATCAGGAAAATTATTTCATCAAATATTTGGTACTTGGATCTCATTAATTTTATGAGTGATGTCTTTTTGTCTTATTATCCCAACCTTAAAATCCACCTTCTTGGAAAACTTGTATAAACTATCATAAATTTTTTGATGGTGGGGAAAAATCTTCTTTGTAATAAATATAATCTTTGTAATAAATACATAATTATTTTTAAAATCTTTGAGCAATATACCTTATGTAGCGGTTGATGTGGTTATCTACCAAATGCTCTCCAGTATCTGAAACGTTCCGCTTTTACGAGTTTTATATTGTGACTTGGTTTTATATTATGACGGAAGTATCTGAAATAGAAGCTTGACGATTTATATATGTGCTTCAATTGGTGTCATTATATTTAGCTTATGTGTTCGTATATAGCATCAAAATGAAAAATTCTTTATAGTTCACTACTTAATTTTCGCCTTCGAGATTGGATTGTCACAGAATAACCACTACTTATTGCTCTTTAAGAGAAAAGAGAGAATTCAAATAAAAATTTTTGAACATGCTGGCAGGAATACCTGAGATTATTTCATAATGGGGTCATAATGGTTATTTTGGACTACTTTGACCACTGATTGCAGGTCTACAGCTCAAATTTACAGGTTCAGGTAGATCGTCGTGTTCTTCCACTTTCGGACGTTAAAAAAAATCGAGAAATTCGTTCAAATCGAGAAATTCGTAACCCGTCGCAATTATCATTTTATAAGACAAGTTGTGGTCATGAAGAAGCATTTTTATTGATTTGGGACGGCTGTTAGCAGTGAAGAAGATTATAATGCCCTATTTTGATGGTATAGAAGGTATAGGCCCGAGAATCTAGCTTGTTATGTCAAATTTACTGGAATTTAGTATTATGAGAAAATTAATTTATGGAAAGTGAAGAGCGACTTCGTTCTCATACCTTTGGTACGTTCTTCATCTGATTTGCTTACGGTATGCACGCATGGAGGACCTTCCGTGAGCAGCGTGTGGCTGGTCATTTCAGAAATATCTATATCAGTAATCCATTCGAAGTTAGAGTTAATCTAAAGCTAAATGAGATGTTGCTGACAAAAACTTCGTTATATCGAAGACATATGCCTACCACAGAAAATGGGCAACCGACTTTTAGAGGAAGAAACCATACCGCCGTGAATTACTAGTGGGATGCGTTTGTTGATGAGATAGATAACTCGTGGGGCAATATTTAAATTTTAATTTATCATTACTTAAGTTCCTACTTAGATTTATTTTTATTTAGTATTTAAATTTAAATTTTTACGGCAAAATATACCCAGCAGCAAAACTAAACATTTGGCATAGCTCACGCTTTGCCATAAAATTATGTTATCATGGATTATTGTACATGTATTGAACCTAAAGAATTTGAAGGTTGATGAAGTAACGACTCCACTATGTTCTTGAGTAACTGGTTTGTTTCACATATTTTCACATGTTTCACATTATATTTTAAGAATATAACTTTAAGGAATATTGCCATTTGCCAAAAGATTCCGAATCATCAGAAGATTCAGGACAGGATTATTGTTTCGAATCAGTTTTCTCTCCTCTTTGATGTTAACATCCATGCATCTACTATCTCCTATTAGTAAACTGCAATATTTTATACATATAAAGCGCAAGTAATATTGACAGTGTCGTGGTTATCACGAAGTTTTGATAACAAGCAGGTATGAATAAAAACAGACGAAGCGATATTTCGTCAGGTATGTCTTAAGAACGACAGATTGCAAAAGAATCGATCTCGAATTGTACAGTTATGAGCCGTTCAAGATAACTCTAGGAAATCTGTATCTGAACTTCATAGATATTATCTAGCGCTGCTTTTAATTATCATTTATTCAGTTCCATGTCATCATGTTTTGGAATACATCTTTTTAAATTACAACAATCCATTGAATCACAGTGAATGAATATCAATGTCTAAGAATTCGAAAAAACATGATCGACAGATCGATTCTGAAACAAAAAAAATTGTTTTCCTTCACTCACCATTAGAGTCTAAGAAAACTTCTTTATTACCCCCTTCAGTATTAGCCAAATAGCTAACGAAAATTCCAGGTAAGACCAAAAGAACTCATAATATATTCATAATGTCATATTTTCTTTTTTTTTTTTTTTTTGAAATTATAAACAATTATTACATGGATAGCATCATTATTTGCATCTATCTGCCTTTTGTTGAGAATTGTCTCCCAACTTAATCAACTGCGAGATTCTCTCATACATGTTTCTCGTTAATGGATACCTGTCGAGACTTGCATTCTTCCCATGATCCAACAAAGAATTGAAAAATATGTAAATCATCAAGTCAACCCATGTAATCTAAAATATCTCTCACCTGTGTTCGGAAACTGCATTTGGCTAATAAAGTTAAACATTAAGAGATTCTCGACCACAGTTTACAAATCATCTCTATTAGAATCCTACCTGGTCATCGAGGTTCACTTACTTTACAATTGATTTATTTGCTCAGCTAAAGTTAACTTCCTTACCTCTTCTCCAATCAGATAAGAAGTGTTGTTTTTGGTTAGTTGTTTCTCAATAATGGATGCGACACGATTGCAAACTTTCCCAAGTTTTATATCATCAGGTATTGTAACCTGGAATTGTCGCGGGCATTGTGTGACAACAAGAATATTCACGTTGAAGTTTCTGGTTGTTAAATTAGCCAACAAATAGTAGGGGAAAGTGGACTTTAAACAATACATTCAGCTCTAATAATTCATCTGGAAGTTGTGCATACATTTTAAGTTTTTTAATATATTTCTCCCAAAAAGTGCTGATAATCCATAATTTTATAAAGTTATAATTTCTCAAAAACAATTGAAAAAGGTCAATGGTTGCTGGCATTTAAGTGAGCATTTAACATTAGCACTGCTGTCGTTATCATCATCCGTTGGTCCGAAAACTGAAATCTGAGCTTCAAGAAGCAAATCGGCAAACATATCGAGCAATGCATCTGATGTCGCATTTTGTCCGGACAGCCCTATGAAATCACTTCTCATGTTCAAAAAGAAGCGACGGATAGCGATTTTATGTCAAGGGTATGAACTAAAATTGCTTTAAGCTTCTTTCAATTATGACAACATAAAAAAGCAATCTATAAGAATACATAACAAATTAAGCTTTAGCCTATCAGTTAGCAACTGATAAATTACCAAAATAATTTTTCAAATGGAATTGTTTTTTACAATCCTTTTATGAATAGTAGAAAACAAGCACGATATGAAAAGATGATGTCACTATAAAAGCTATAATCGTATCAATGATAACTTACCGAACCTCCAAGCTAAATGACGACAAATAGCAGTCTGCCCACTTAGTTTGACATCATCTATTTCCAGTACTGGCAGTATCCCAAGTGGAGTCTCTGTAAATTCTTTATTTTAAGAATTTCTTTTTTTTCGTGTTTCTAACATTTTTTAAACCAAAATTCATTTAAATTTGAAAATCTTAGAACGAACGATCTCATAATACCAGCCCTTATTTCAAACACACTGAAATTTCCTTATCTTGAGCCGATATCACTTTTATCCATAAAGTGATGTGCTATTTCTATCATCAAACTTTTGAACCATCTCTCAAATTTGGAAATTTCTAGAAATTTTGAACCATTTCTAATGAAATCCCATTGTTCTTTCCGATTAATACTGATATCTTCATACGGGACATTTGCCATTTTGAACATCAGCCTTGCTAATTTACCACTTTGCTGGTCATTAGCATTGTATAGTTTGAATTTTGGCGACAGCATATCTAATATCGTCTAAGGATGAATTCTGTTTTAGTTTCATACATAAGTAACTGAAGGCAACTAATTAATAAATTCGGCGATTTCACAAATCTAGAGAAACACTACCAATATTTAAGAAGGGAACTTTATCGGATAGAATATAATATACAACACAGTGTTTATCTTTTCCTATCAGTGAGTCACATTTTCATCCTTCGCTGTTAATCATTTCCTTTTTTCCCTTATTTAGTAATCAAGGAATTTCTAATTTTTCATACTGTTTCATTTAATAAACACTTTAATAAATTTTTGATAAACAACACAAACACTTCATAAAGAAGCCTGAAATTTAAGTTTCAATGATAAATAAATGAAACATTTCGTCATCTCAAAATATCTTCGGTCAGAGATATCAGGGATCTATATATTTAAAAAAAATTAAAAAAAAATCACTGCCCTTTGAAAAATTATGTGAAGCCTTGTCATAAATTGTGAGAAATTTAGTGTGAGGAAATGCATGGGATAAGCAAATATATGAAGTTATCAGTCAAAGTATTCGAAATATTCATTGCGGGTAATCACACTGATAATGCTAATCTGTGACGAACTTTTATGAAAGAGAATAACTCACAGAATATTCCAAAAATGAAAATCAAAACATTTTTATGCAAAAAAAAGAAAGAAAAAAACCATTTCATTCGTTGTAAAATTGAATATGAAAATGAATCAATAAAATTTACGGATGCATTATTAAAAAAAAAAATTTTTTTTGAAAGCAAAGAGAACAGATGAAAACGACGACAGTGAAGAATCAAAAAACAAGACAGGTCTACGGAATGGAGCAAAATCGATCACCTGATGGAGCAAATGTTTTTTTTTTTTGCTTCTGTTACACATAGCTTTCTTGTGTTGAAACGTTGTTGAATGTTCGCCATCCGATCCTACATTATGTCATCATTACTTCCGACTGCTCCATCATATCCATACTCTTCCATTCGTTCAACATTACCATTGCATCATATACGGGATAGCATGATCCAGGAAACATTTTTATTATCAAACAATTGATTTCACAAAACAGCATAGAACAATTTAAATCTGTTTAGATTACTTGGGATGGCAGTAGATATCTACAACATGTAATGCAACAGATGTGATGAAATGAGTCCTGCAACAAAATAATTCTCATTGGTGACATCATGCTTAGCTCAGAGACCCGATTCGTCTCATTGAAAATGGTCAGCCTTGAAAATATTGAGCAAACCATCAATCAACTGTAACAAACGTTTGCACTGCTGGTACCAAAAATCCACTATATTTTAGTGAAATCTTGTATTTAATAATTGCTGCTAGAAAAAAGTAAATATTGCCTGTAGTGCTTCCGTAATTCCATTTTTTACTGGTTTTTTAAATTCCGTGTTCGATCAAATCATTTCCGGTTTAGTAAAATTAAGAACTAATTAATGTTTTATTTTGGTGACATTACTGAGTTCACTTCTTTCATCACTTCAGTTCATTTACAAATCAAAAAAGATCAACCAATCATATCGTTATGATGAAAGGGATAAAGGATGAAGGTTATCAATCGACTGAATTATCAACCAATTATTTGATCAGATTTAGGCTAGAAGACCAGAACAGATCTTCTTAAATAAAATACAGAAGCAAAAAAAAAAAGTGTTATCATTATATATGAACTTGTGGCCATGCAATCTTTAGCTTATGTTAGCCAGATGACCTTGGGACATATTAAACTGCAAGCTGAATTCTTCCAAGTGCATGCCTGTTATTCCTTATCATATTAATTCTTCTGAAGATTTCTAAATATTTTTGAACATTTTTTACAATCAAATAGAAAGCAAGTGAAAAATAAAGATTCTGCACAATCTTCGGAGTTGTCCTCAACATTTTTTCCTGAATATCAAGTGAAAATGTCGAATGAAGCGCTTTCTGGCGATTTAACTCTAAAGGTTCTAAAAATTTATTTCTCATTACCTTCTTTAGAATAGCAAGAAATATATCAAAGTTGCATATAAATTTGATTTCTAAAATTTCTGACTTTACTAAAAGACGATATAGATGATTTTGGGAGATAGTTATAGAAAAGTGATTTTAAAATGAATTTTAATAGTTCAAAGCAATTTCAGAGTAACATTTCATTTCTCTAATATAGAAATCCATGAGAACATTTCGTGCAAAAAATCTTAATTCAAAAGTTAATTTATCTAATTTAATTGTACGAGTGACATTTATTTTTGTAATTTAAAAAAACTCAAAGTTGCAACCATGAATTCTTCTTCAAGAATTTTACCTATTCGAATGTCAATGGTAGTTAAACAGTTGACGATGGATTACTTGTGATACTTGTATACGATAAATTACTCATATACAATATGAGAATGAGAAAAGAAACTCAGAATATAGGATTGCTAAAAGGTTTGCTTGTGTTTCCAAGTATTAGTCCTTTTAGAAGAGGAACTGCTTAAAAATAAAATGCAAATTTTCAGACTCTTCACGTACGATTAAATTTATTTCCATATCAAGTGAGACAGAAATTTATTTAAAAGAATAATATAAGTAATTTAACTCATTTCCTATCTTCAGATCAACTGATATCAGTTCGCATTGCTTATTTGAAGCGCCATTGTTTGTTTGTTGTTGCAAACGAACGAAGTTAGCAAATTTGTTCATAAATAACAGAAATTTGTTTTCTTGAATTTCAGCTATTAACTTGTTTCCTTTCCCATTGTTCAGTGAAATCGCCACTGGTTAAACTGCTCATTAGGCGTGAAATCTAAGTAAAAATAAAATAATTGATTGAGCTTATGGATTTCTGAGGAATATTGTCGGAAAGAGAGTTTGAAGAATACGAGACAGACAGATCTTCCTATGAAAGATTTCATCTGAGGTATAAACTCTGCCGCAGAAATAGACTTCTTCAAATAACAATTTCTTTCTATGACTTGGACTTAGACTTATTCCAAACTTTTTGAAATAACGAAATTCGGGGAATTTAAAATATGATTTCCGTTTTCCCATTTTTTATCAATATGTGATAGAAGTTAATCCTATCAAAATCATAGCATATCAATGAGATATCAAACTGCAAACGTGTTGAAAGAATAATCAATATAAAAAAATTGTTATTATTATTATTATTATTATTATTATTATTATTATTATTATTATTATTATTATTATTATTATTATTATTATTATTATTATTATTATTATTATTATTATTATTATTATTATTATTATTATTATTATTATTATTATTATTATTATTATTATTATTATTATTATTATTATTATTATTATTATTATTATTATTA